GTCTCCGTGCCGGCGAAGAACAAGTTGAGCGTGGTGAGCACCAAGTTCTTGGTGTTGAATTCACTGTTGGGGTTTTTCTTTTCCTGGGGGCGACGGACACAGGAAAGGGCGGTGGATGACATCCCTGGATACAGGAGGGTGTCGCCGTGGGCACAACCTGCGCGCTGCCTCCTGACACGAACCCCTCGGCAGCCCACCAGAGACACGTCATGGCAAGGAGCAGGGGAGGGCCGGCAGGTCGGTGGAACGCTTACCGGGGGTCGGCAGAGAGCGGGCCGGGCGCATCGGGTCAGCACGGAGCCATAGCTCGCTCTTAGAGATCTCAGAGTGCCGTACGACGGCGGTAAGCGTCATTAGCCCCATTTTACACATGGGGAAACTGAGGCACGGACTTACCCACGGGAGAGCCGGGAATTGAACCTCGGTATCCTGCGTGCTAGGGAGCACTGCCCAGCATCCCTGCTCTGCTGTTACGGTATCAGAGAAGCACCTCCGGCAGGGCCCCACTGCTCGCGAGAGAGTCTCCCTGCCCCTCAGGGCTCGGTCTGACTAGCCAGAGGACGGAGCAGGAGCCCCAGATGACGGAGAGGCAGGGACTCACTGTGGCTGAGCTGGGATTTGAACCCAGGTCTCCTGAGTCTCAGTCCGGGGCCGTAACCACAAGCTCCCTGTGTTATTGGCAGTATTTATTATTATCTGCTTTACTGCAGCACCAAGGACCCCAAATCACGGAGCAGGCCCCCATTGTGCCAGGCGCTGTACGTTTTATTGCTATTAGGTGGATTACAGTAGCACTGCGCCAGTCCCGGACCAGGACGTCATGGTGTCAGGTGCTGTACGTTTTATTGCTATTAGGTGGATTACGGTAGCACCACCCCAGTCCCAGACAGGTTGCCAGGTGCCGTACAAACACAGACCAAAGAGAAAGCCCCTGCCCCAATTGCTCCCAAGCCAGAAGGTTTGCAAGCCCCCCCAGCCGGTACCTTTTCCATCTGGATGAGGAAGCAGTCAATGAAATCCCGCGGGGCGTTGGGGTCGAGCGAGGCCTGGTTGATCTTCACCCGCTCGGCGATGAAGGCCTTGAGGTCCTCAATGAGGTGGTAGATGCGGTGGTGGCGCCCGGGCAGGTACTGCATGACGCAGGAGTACATGTCGTAGAGCTGCACGGGGGTAGAAGCCGGGTTCACCGATCGCCCACAGCTGGGGAGGGGGCAAGTAACCAGCCCCACCCAGACCGGCTCCTGCCTCGCCTCAACTTCCCAACACAGATCATGTCTGCAGCCAGGCCTCCCGCCCTTGCCAGGCTCTTCCCCGGACAGGGCCGGCTGCTCCCACGCCCCCGCGGCCATTAAAGGGACAGCGCCTCCTCTGCGGCTTTCCGACAGCTGCGTTGCGGCTTCAGGGATCTGACGTGTGCATTGTCTGCCTTCCTGTATAACCGAGACCAAACCACCTCCCCACAGAGCCCGTGATTTCTGTGTTAGCCAGACGGCAGCTTTTCGAAAGACCGCCAGCCGGGCTGTAATGAATCCACCCCATCCATAGGGTGGGAATCCTTTGCCCGGCGGTACCTGGGCCCAGGGAGAGCTCATCTCTACGAAGCTTTCATTGATCATGCGCAGCAGGGACAGAAACGTCTCGTCCTCGTAGTCGAAGCGGCTCCCGAAGACGACGGCGCTGATGACGTTGGAGACCGTGCGGCTCAGGAAGAAGATCGGGTCAAAGGGCAAACCTGTCACGGACAAAAGAGGAAGCGGCGGACATTCCCCCTCCGCGGTCTTCTACTGCGATTGACCCGCCCACTTGCTGTGACCCCGCCCCTTCTTGGGGTGGCGGCAGCAAGGTCTAGAGTGGCAACTCACACCTGTTGGAGCAATCGTTTCAGGCTCTCTGCAAACTCAGGCAGAAATCACAGCATTGTTTATAGCTGGGTCACCTTTTCAAGCCTGTAGAAACTTTCTTATTATATATATATATATATGTGTTCACACACTGAGATTCTGATTCCGCGGGACACCCGGCGCTGGGGGCGTGGGATGCCCCTTAAATTCTAGCAAAAGCATTATGCCAATTGATTAACGAGTCTTCCGATCCGCCTAGAAATGGAGGCACAAAGCAGGGCCAGGAGCGACACAGAAACAGGGGGCAGAGGCGGGAGTAGAAGCCTTGTATTCCAGGCTCCCAGACCCACGTTCAGGCCACTAGGCAACACTGCCCCTCGGCTACCTCCTGATTTGCTGAGCTCGGTTCGTCAAATACAGCTACCTACCGCTACAGCCCAGCTGCAAAGGAGTGAGTCTGTCTGCTCTCCGGAGGCGGCGGGATAACTCGTTTGCTCGTTGATCGTGGGACCTAGCACGGGGGGGGGTCTCGTGGGACAGGCGCGGGCTGGGGGAATGAGGTAGTGCTGGGCTCCCCTCCTATTTCATATAATCGAAAGGTATTTATATGGGCCCCCGTCTTATCCTAGCGTCTGATCACCTCACCCGCTTCAATCTGCAACGGGCACAACCCCACCCGCCCCAAAGCAGGGCTCTGCGTCTGCAGAAGCTGGGTCAATAAAAGATGGCCCCTCCCCCACCTTGTCTCCTTAACATCTTCTCCACCCCCCCACCCCCCAAGACAAGGTATTGCTATCAAGCCCATTTTACAGCAGGGGAAACTGAGGCACAGCACCTCCCCCAAGGTCACCTGGGAAGGCTGCGGCAGAGGCAGGAACTGCACCTGGGCTGCTCACAGCTCAGGCTACCACCCTCACCACCGGGCCACGCTCCCTCTGCCACTCCCGTGTGACCGGATGAGTCCCTTCCTCTCACTCGGTGCCTCGGTTTCCCCTTCTGTAAACTGGGGAGAATCGTCCTGCCCAGGGAGGGTGAGTACCTGGGAGGTGCTCGGTTGCCATGGTGACATCGGCCCTATAAATACCTAGACCAGGAGAAAGGGTGGCTGATAAAGCGGCTGTAAAGCCGCTCCCTGGCCCTGGCCTTGGGCGATACTGGGGGGGAGGGGAGGGACGCAAACGCGCAGACCTCTGGTTTTCCTGAACTCCTCCAGCAGGTACTGCGCCTCCTCCTGGATCCGCTCCTCGATGGATCGCTTCCCCATGCCGAAGTTCCTCAGCGCGGTGAGGGAGAATCGGCGCAGCTGCCGCCACCGCTCCCCGTTGGCCAAAGCCACCCCTGGGAACGGTGGGAGAGAGCCGCGGGAGTCAGCCCTGGGAACGCCCCCTGCCGAGCCCCCCATCCCACGGCATTGTGCCCCCTGGCGCCCCCGTGGGGCCAGCCCTGCCTGCCGGGGAGAGCGCCCCCTGCTGATTCACCCACACGGCTCCCTGCAGTGCGTGTAATGTCTCCCATCCGACCGCTGAGCCCCGTAGCGGCAGCCCCCCGCTAAGACGAGACACTGCCCCCGGGGCACACGTGCTGAGCCCGGCTCCGCCGCTCACCGAAGCCCTTGAAATTCCGGTCGATGGACGCCAGCTCCCCTCTGCCACTGAACTCCTCCGCGTGGTCCACCAGGGCTTCCTTCACCGCCTCGTGCCCGCACAGCACCACCACCCGCCGGGGGCCCAGGTGCACCGTGAACACCGGGCCGTACTTCTCCCGCAGCTGCAACAGAAATCAGAGCAGAGCGGCCGTGAGAGCACGTGGCGTTGCTGGCGCATGGACTGGGGCACTCTCAGGGCGGCACCGGCCAGGGACCAGATCCTGAGCCGGCGTAACCGACGCGCTCCCCTGGAGTCAGGAGAGCGAGGCTGGTTCATGGCATTCAGTGCCCCCGTTTAGACCAGATCCCCATGGGACCCTGATCCCTACACCACAAACCCCGCCGTGCGAGACCCCTCCACTGCGACGTGCTGGGGGGAGTGTGCAGCCCCTTGGCACGGCCGGTCCCGGAGGCTGCAGGAGAACCCAGAAATGGGGGGGGGGCTGGCTAGATTAGTGGGTGTCCCTTTGCCTAGCCCCCGCGGTGACCGAGATCAGCCGCACTCCCCGCCCCGGCCACCAGAGCCCTACGCCGAGGCTCCCGGGGGCGCGACTTACCGCCATGAACGACTTGAAAGTCTCGTCCGGCTTCAGCTGCAGCAGGTTGCCGAGGAAGGGCAGAGGGGTCGGCCCCGGGGGCAGCTTCCCTCCCGGGTGCATTTTCTTCCACACCGACAGGAGAAGCAGGCAGGAGAGGCAGAGAGCCAGGAATATGGTCACAGCTCCCCCGAGCTCCATGGCGGGCGCAGGCGGTGAATGGCCAAGAGCCAGTGCCGGCTCGGCTGTTATATGCAGGCTGCTCGGTAAGGGGAGACGGTGCCATTCTTGGCATCCTGAAACTCTACCAGGCAAACAGGGTTTGGTTTCAGAAGTGCCAGGGCACTAATCGGCTTGGGAGATTCCAGGCGGTCACGGGTGGAGGGTGTTAGGCTCCCGTGAGAATCTCTCTTGTGCTTTTCACATGCTCGGCTGCAATGCACTGGGCAGAGTATCAAAAGGACAGCAGGGGCTGTGTTTGTACAGCACCAAGCACGGGGGGAGGGAGGACAGGGTGGCCTAGTGGCCAGCCCACGGACTGCTCTGGGGTCTGTTCTGGGCTTTGCGGCCTGGCATTTTGCAGCCACTTAGCCCTGGCTTTTGCCCGGCTGCGAATGACTCCAGGCACGGTGGCGTTACGCCAAACGACACCCGCTGAGGATCTGGCCCGGGCCGGGCTGAATACGTTGGCCCAACCGAAAGCTGTAGTGCAAATAATTGGACTCTCCCAGCATCTTTATTTACTTCTCTATTAGCTTCCGCCTTGTAAGTCCCACGTCAGCCCTCAGCCCGGGTCCCACCTGGCCCCGTTTTCCCAGGATCGTCCCTTTTCGGAGGTAGCCGTCATAGAATCCTAGAATCTGAGGGTTGGAAGGGACCTCAGGAGGTATCTAGTCCAACCCCCTGCTCAAAGCAGGACCAACCCCAACTAAATCATCCCAGCCAGGGCTTTGTCAAGCCTGACCTTAAAAACCTCTAAGGAAGGAGATTCCACCACCTCCCTAGGGAACCCATTCCAGTGCTTCACCACCCTGCTAGTGAAATAGTGTTTCCTAATATCCAACCTAGACCTCCCCCACTGCAACTTGAGACCATTGCTCCTTGTTCTGTCATCTGCCACCACGGAGAACAGTCTAGATCCATCCTCTTTGGAACCCCCTTCAGGTAGTTGAAAGCAGCTATCAAATCCCCCCCTCATTCTTCTCTTCTGCAGACTAAACAATCCCAGTTCCCTCAGCCTCTCCTCATAAGTCATGTGCTCCAGCCCCCTAATCATTTTTGTTGCCCTCCGCTGGACTCTTTCCAATTTTTCCACATCCTTCTTGTAGTGTGGGGCCCCAGACTGGACCCAGTATCCAGATGAGGCCTCACCAGTGCCGAACAGAGGGGAACGATCACGTCCCGGGGAAGTTGTCCGGGTGCCCAGCGGAGGGCTCAGGATCAGCCCGGATGCCCGGGGGTTTTGTACCTTGGAGGTGGCAGCCCGGAGGCCCAGCACAAGGCCAGAAAGCCGAGCACGCGTTGGTCTCCGGGCTGCAGCAGGAGCAAAGTGGCAGATAGGCCGGGCGCTGGCCTCTGCCCAGGGTGTGAATTTCCCCCCTTGGGATTATGTAACGGGGGATCGAGTTCAGGACTTGCATAACCATGAATGCGCCAGTTCTCTCCTCGCCCTTGCGGTGAGCTCCCCTTTTAACCCCTGGCTGTTTACCCATTAAACACTCCCTGCCGATGCGTGAACCTCCGTGAACCGAACCGGGCGCCGGCTGCCAAGAGCTTGGCTGGACCTGCCCGGGGAGCCGGTTTGCAGACCGGCCGAACGATGCCTGGGCTGCTGACATCCCCCCTCCCGCCGTGTTTCCATTCCCCTCCCGAGTGTGAGGCAGCACCGGAGGAGGTTGGCAAGATCTCGTAAACGCGTTCTTCCGAAACACTCCCGCATTCTTCGCATGGCTGCGCCCGGCCCCGCACTCGGGAGGATTCAATAATAACCAGCGTAGCCCCACAGGGAGACAGCGAGAGACCTCGGCACTGCTAGGACTTACCAACCCTTTGGTAAGGGTGTTATTGTCCCACAAGAAATATTATCCCAGCTGAGATCAGGGCCCCGTTGGGCCAGGCGCTGCCCAGACCCCGGCCAAGATCAGGGCCCCGTCGCGCTGGGCACTGCCCAGACCCCGGCCAAGATCAGGGGGGAGGCGGTTAGGGGACAAGGAGCAGGGGGGGGTTGATGGGTGGGCAATGCTGAGGGGGGCAGTCAGGGGGCAGGGGTGTGAATAGGGGTCAGGGGACGGGGAACGGGGGGGTTGGATAGGGGTTGGGTCCCGGGGGGCCTGTCAAGGGGTGGGGGTGTGGATAGGGGTCAGGGGACAGGGAGCGGGGGGGTTGGTGTTCCGGGGGGGCACTTAGGGATGGGGGTCCCAGGAGGGGGCGGTTAGGGGACAAGGAGAAGGGGGGGTTGGATGGGTCAGGAGTTCTGAGGGGGGCAGTCAGGGGGCGGGAAGTGGGAGGGGGCGGATATGGGGTGGGGCCCAGGCTGTTTGGGGAGGCACAGCCATCCCTACCCAGCCCTCCATATAGTTTTGCAACCCCAATGTGGCCCTCGGGCCAAAAAGTGTGCCCCCCCCCCGCTCTAAACACACAAGACGGAATCATTGTCCTGATTTTACAGGTGGGGGTCCTGGGGCCCAGAAAGATGAACTAACTCTCCCAAGGTCACCCAGGGAGTCCGTGGCAGAGACCGGGAATTGCTTGTCCCAGCCCAGCACCTTAACCCCCCTCTTCAAGACAGCAGGGGAAAGGGATTCGTTCATGCCCATGCAGTGGGTCAGTGACAGAGCCTGGGAAACCTGCCACTCTGCGGGATCCCGCTCTGCGGAGCAGCCACGCTGCCAGGAGGCTCTGTCGGCTCTTTAAATCTGCTTCCCACCCAGCCTTCTAGAGAGGCTGGAAAAGCCACCGGCCGGATCCCACCGTGGCCCCGTACTGCGCTGGAGGAAGGCAGGGCCCCAGTGCATAACACTCTCAACACTGCTGTTTACCTAGCACAGGGCAGCCCGGTTTACCAGAGCCTCTGCCCAAGGCCAGCCACGCCCCTGGCCCCAGAACAGAAAAGTAAGAAACCCGAGAAAAGATCAAGAAAAGCCACTGAAGACTTGGATAAGCTCTGTGTAAACGAACCCAAGCCGGGTAAGGCTAAAAGACAAATACTGCAGGCGATTAAATAAACACCTATTGACAAAGGGACAAGTTTTGAAGGTATTTGGGTGTTGCAGCGCTCCTAAATCCCTTTTGAAAACAAGACTCAGAGTCCTGGATCAGTTAGATGTTGCAACGCCTAAAACCCTTTCAAAACCTGGGCCACGGGGTCTTGTTTGGTAGCTACCGACAATCTGAAAACACGCCCCAGCCAGACCCAGCGAGCTAGACGGGCGTGTATGGGGGGGAGAGAGAGATGCGGGGTATGGGGATGGACAGATAGATCGATGCATCCATCCATCCATTCCCAGACCTAGCTATCGACCGAGTGATAGATGATAAACTGTGGTTGTGAAAAAGCAAGCAAGCTAACCAATACATGAAGTGTTCTACAAAGCCGCTTTTGCAACCACCTCATGTTTTTATGGACTTTAATAAGCTCGATGCTGAACTAGTTACAAGCAGTAGAGGGGGAAAACCCCGAATGAATAGAAAATAAGGAGAAGAGGTTTTTACCCACGAAAGCTTATGCCCAAATAAATCTGTTAGTCTTTAAGGTGCCACCCGACTCCTTGTTGTTTTTGTAGATACAGACTAACACGGCTCCCCCTTAATAGAAAATAAGGAAGCGTAAAATCAGGTTTCCTTCCCAGGGGGACGTAGGAAGAGTCACTGTCGTTGTAAGCCAGGACATTTTCAGGAGCACGTCCAGTAACAGCTGAGAGCCTCATGGCGGGAACGTCTCATTGAGTCCAGCCAGGAGCGTCTGCCTCAGCAAGCAGCAAGCGGAAACTGCGGTAAAATCTCAAGCCAGGGGGCACAAGACGAGGCTTCCTGCTTTCCAGCCCCAGTGCAAGGCCAGCGCACGACACTGCAGTTCTCTGATCCCTAAGCCGACCCGGGGTCCAGGAGCAGGTTAATGGGTTTGGGTGACATCAGCTGCTAATAATCCCCGGAGCTGTTCTGACAGCGAAGGGCACTCCAGTCCAAAGGTGTCCCGGCCAGGCCCGCTTGAAAGGCGTCGGCCGGGCGGGGGTCTCCCGTTGGCGGATTTCAGCTCCCTCCCCGAGAGGCGACGCTGGGTGGCGGGAAGAATTCGTCCCTCCACCTTGCGTTGCTGCACCGGGGCGTAGGCTGGTTCACGACGTCGCTCCCGCGTGTGGATTGCGCAGCCCCGTCTGTGTTCACACGAGATCTCTGCTCCGGGGGCTGAAGGAGACCCCGGCCCTGGCTGTTGTTCTCACTCACGTAGCTCCAAGCAATGCAGTTACATCAGTGCCCCCGGAGATCCCCCCACGCACACACTGCACAAGGACCCTGATCCCACCGCACCGCTCCCAGCCGCGGGTGCAGAGGGCAGATCCAGGACACAGCCAGAGAGCACTGTGCTGTGGTTATTCTCTGCCCCCCAGGGCCCATAGGGGGCGGGGCGGGGGCAGGGCTGTTCTGTGCCCCCC